AGTGAGAAAAGCCAGAACCTGTCTCAGGATCTTCCCTTTGCCTGTTTCACTCCAGCCATCGGAACACAACCTCAACGCGGTGTAACTGCAGAACATTCTGAAACGCTGATCGCGACTCTCTCTCACTCCCTGGCCGCTTCACGTAGCCCCTTGGCGAGACTGGGTACCCGTTCGGGGAAACAAGATTGCGACTGTGCTGCCTCTCCTACTACAGCTGTGTTAGGATGATTCCCATCTTCCTGAATACTTCTAGTTCTTTCCGTAATGTTTAGGAGCTTGAAAGGGGATACAAGATTTAAGCTCTCGTTTGCAGTTTCTCCATTTCAATGCCTGCATGGGTGTGTTTCCCTTGCACCCGAGAGCGCTTTTTCATACACAACAGCAATTACACAAAAGCCTAGTGCTGCCGCCTTCGCTTTATTACCTGTGCTCATTCTTAAATTCTCCCCTTCGCCACCTCCCCAGCAGCTTTGCTTGTAACTTAGTATTCAAAGGTCTGTCTTGTACAAATGACTGCACTTTCTATTTGCAAGGAAAGAACAAAACCACAAGCCGAGTTTATCCTTGAAGCACGCAAGACTCTTTAGCCGCAGCATTCTCAGTTAGCTGGTTCGTCTCAGCTATGTCTTAAATGAAATGTATCCCCGTCTGCTTAACGTGACACACAAGATTAAAAGGGCGTTTGCGAAAATCCCTGAAGTTAAATGACAAAGAGCACCCCCGTGAAGGTATTCTTTGGGTTTTATTTAAATATACAAGATTCCTAAACGTAATTGATCCATTTTTTATGCAACGACTTACTTTGTATCAGCCCTTTAGATCAACGTGAGCAACTACAACTACTTTTGATTGTTCATTTTAGACCTTTGTTTATGATAGCAAGGACAGCCAGTGTTTCTTCTGAAACCCTACATCTTACTACTGCGGGCAGTCTTTCACCAATCCTGCTTTATTTCAGCTGCAACTGTCCTTGGTTTTGTACCAAGGCTTGATTTGCGTCCAGTTAAGTGAATTGTAAGGTAAATTTTTATTTTTTTCCTTTAAAACTGCCAATTTAAATCAAGAAACTGGAAGAAGGAATTAGTTGGGGGGGGGGGGGGGCGGGGAGGGCTGGGGCTTAGGCATAGATCTAGCCCTTGGAACCCAAGCTGATACCTGAGCTGGGCACATGGCTGTGGTTACTATTTCTGGTTGGCATATTCATTTTATGAAATGAAGCAGTTTGGGGTCAGTTTTGTACGGAAAACAACCAGGTAAAGAATCATTCCTTCTTGTCGCTAAGCATAAAGCAAAGGATGAATACAGTTGTGGAAAGACTGTAAATGGTTAGTTTACAAAATCTAAACAATCTGCAATTAGAAAATGTTATTTGCTAATTATATGATTATTTTTCCGGTGTTTGGAGATACCTAAATGCAAGTTTGTTATGGTCAGCTCTGTATAATGGCAGAAAAAATGCTACTTTAAGGCACAGGTCTCTCAACAACTATAAACATCTGCTTTGAGCTTGTCATCTCTATCTACGTTCAATCAATCACATCCTTACACTAGAATTTAAACTGTTCTAGACTGAGATTTTGGTTCTTTGTAAATTCAGAAGCTACTCTTGGGAAGCAAGAAGCAGCTGTGAGTATTCCTAATAAATGCTCACTGTCCAAATTCTGCAAACAGCTTTACTGCACTTTTACTTTCTGGGTAGGAAAAGAGCCCAAATGGAAAGGGGCAATGTAGGAGGAGCATTATTAGAGGTTTCTGGAGCATAATACAGATCATAGAACGGTTTGGGTTGGAAGGGACCTTTAGAGGTCATCTAGTCCAACCCCCCTGCAATAAGCAGGGACATCTTCAACTACATCAGGTTGCTCAGAGCCCCGTCCAACCTGACCTTGAATGTTTCCAGGGATGGGGCATCTACCACCTCTCTGGGCAACCTGTGCCAGTGTTTCACAATGCACACTGTGAAACATTTCTGCCTTAGATGCAGGAGAAACCTGCCCTCTTCTTCTAGTTTAAAACCATTACGCCTTGTCCTATCAGATCTCCATAGATACTTTCCATTATGCGCCCTTCAAGACTGGAGTTCTTTGACAAGGCTGTTGCAGATCTCTTCTTCCTCCCCTTCCTACCTTTAGTACTACAAAATATTTCTTGCTGCATTGTGTAATTGGTTGTTACACCTGCCTACTCTTAAAAGAAGAAAAAGCTGTAAGATTCTTACGATGACACAAAGTATCATCTTTAGTACCACCTACACTTTTTAGGCTAAGAGAAAAAAAAGTCTGCTTACTAAATTTAATTCTAAAGTTGCTAATGTACTGAAACTGTTTAAATAAAATAAACATCACTGTTGCAGGTTCACCATGTCATTGTGCATGAGGGAACTATCTGCCGCTGCAGGGATTGTTCCAGCACAAACTCAGCTTGATGAAAACTCCCACTATTAACAGACTTTGTGCTTTCTTACAGTCCAAGATAAATAAGGGAGTTTTCTATACATTACACATATGAGAAGTGTTGGGAAAAAATGAAAGTTTCAGCAATCACTAAGAATTTATATTAAAAATAATACAGGAAACCCAACACAAAACCCACACACTCAATAACTTACCTCAATACTTCAATGAAAGCTTTCCCCCTTTCTTTGAAAGTCACTCTCTTCTCAAAGGCGGCAGTGCCAGAACTGAAGATGGAGATGCTCCCGTAACTCCAAAAAAGAGCAGCTTTGTGCTTTCAGTCTCTCCTATTTTTATTTACATTTTTAAGAAAGACATGCTTTAATTTTAAGGCCTGTTGGGCCTGCATATTATCTTTAAAAAAAGATTCTAACATAATTATTAGTTCTTAGCCAAGCTGATCCTAAAACAGTGTGGTCTTAAGAACTAAGCCCTTAAAAAAAAGAGAAACTGCAGATATAAATAAAGTAGGCTAAGTAGACTAACTGATAAAATTTTCCTTTTAAAAATAGTGACTAGTTCTCGTGCTCTCATGAAAAGTTTTAACAAAAAGCATGACTATACAATTAAGTATCCATATGAGTAAGATGCAAATTGGAGGCTACAAAATGCCATCACTTCAACTTTCCACATCAGTTACACAGGAGCTGCAGGGAAGACTTGCCTCCAGAGGAGCCAAGCGGCTTGTTCCCAGAGAACTGGGATTTTCAGGTAAGCTTGTTCACTGCCAGCACTCCTGCTGGTATGAGGCAGCTCTACAATGCCTTAAGCCAAAGGCTGTATTTACATTCAAGCCTTGAGTGAAAATTATATCACTTGTTTAAAAAAAAAAAAAAAAAAAAGTTTCTTCATCCTCTACCTCCCTCTCTACAGGCTTGGAGAGATTAAACATCTCCTTTACAAAGGTCAAGGTTATATTCACAGCTAAAATGTAGGGGAAAAAATTGAGATAATAATTAACCAGTAACCATTTAAACACGTTTCCCAATAAGCTGCTTCAAACTCACCCAGTTCGAACTATACATAAACTAGAACAAATTGTTTTATTACTGCAGAAAAAACACGTGCTGTTCTCATTTCACTCTAGAAGAACAAAGAAATGCTGACTGTTCATAGAATTAAAAGTTACCTTTTAAAGTGCTGGAGACAAAATGCAGTATTAGTTTTTCCCAAGTATACCATGTAATAATTTGCTTCAATAGCATGGGTGTAAACGTAACTGATGGAATAACAATTGAAATATCTGAAACCATTAAAAGTTTAGAGAAACGTCACGTGGAAACCAAGGCCACCTGGGAAAGAATTTAACAGATTTTCCTTAGGTTGAATAGCTTGAGTGGAGAACCAGAATCCAGGCTTAAGTCCAAAGAGCTAAATGGAAAACCAATCTTTTCACACAGCATGTCCTGTGGTATATTTATGATTATGATTACAATTGTATCAACAAATTTTTATTCAATAGTTGTCTTAAATCCATCTGAAAATAAAAGGCAGTGTTGACTACCACTAGAAAATTGCAAATAAAATGTTTAATTTCAGAAACTGAGTTCACCATTTATAAATACACTAAAACATAGTAAATGCAAAATTAGATTAGGCATAGGTACAGTATTTTAACAAAGCTACAACTTTTCTAAAAGGTCATAGGCAAATGATGACTTGTTTCCCAAAAAGTATTCAATGAAAACTGAAATGAGAAGATTAATCTTCCTAGAGCTGAAAAACCATGGAGAACGTTCCTTTCAAATTAAAATGCTGGCTGTTTTTTTTTCCATCTTATCTGAAGTTTTGAGGGCTCTATATCCCATTTGCCTGATGGACACCAACAGTTAAGAATCAACCCTACTACATAAAATTCTAAGCAGTGCACCATATCCATAAGGCTATTACTGAAAATCAGAAGATCAGTTATTTCTGTACTAGGAGCTTTAAAACAGGCTGTTCTACACAACTGAAATTATGTTAGGAGTAAAGGGCTCGAATTTTACAATAGGGAACCTTATAGTTTTGATGCACTAAAGATTAGAAAAGGCTTTAGAATGACATTAGAGTCTTCATGGTAGATTTCTTGCCTTTTTTGTACACGGCATTAAATAACAAGCATTAATTCACAGACTTTGATAAGACTTCCAAAGAGCTTTTATAAATACCCAGAATATTTCTGTAGTTCAGTTAAAATGTAAAACCTGAACAGAAGAACCCAGAACAGGAAGTTTTACTACTGATTGCTGTATAACTGATATTCCATATCATCTCAAATTTAAGATTTATTTTCAGATACTAAGTCAATAGTCTCCTGTAAACACTTCTTCCTCAATAACTCTTCTTAATCCTTTAAGTACTTTAGGGCTTGCAGTTTAAAAACACCACATGACAAAAAGACAGCTTGAACCCCATCTTTCATGTACAGCTTTCTTTTGACAACTACAAAAGCTGTTTTGTTGCAATTAAAGCAATGTTTAACTAAAATACAGTACCTGGTTTATGGTTTTTACATAATAATTGAATAAAAAACTACAGAATAGAACTGTTTACATCTTTTTTTTTGCCATTCTATTAAAACAAATGACTGAGCTTTTTTAAAGTACATTTACAATTATGGATTAAAACCTACATAATTTTGTATAATCTGACAAGACAGGCTATCTCTAGTGTGAACTTTTAAAAAACATATATACAATATCTGGCCTGAAGTACTATGAATAAGGCACATGTAGACATATTGAAAGCTGAAAAAAATGAAAACTAAAATTTGGAATTATAGTCACTGATTAGATGTCATACATGGCCCCTATTGGAGCAATTTAACAATCCAAGTTATAGATAGTTAATATCCAGTGAGCAACAATAGATTTAGTTTAGCAGTTTGTTAATTAGTTTCAATACTGGAAGTATATTAAAGGAAGATTCACTTTCAAAAAGATAAGCTTTTCAAAGTGTTCAATCATCAATCTTGACTGACTAAAGTTGTTGCTTTCATTGGATGTATTGAACAATCTCTCTGAAGGAACAATGCTTGGTGGACAACCCAAGAACCTGACAGCCAATTTTGACAGTACTGGCCAAGATGACTTTTTAAAGTTCCAGTAAGTTAAAGGATCACAGTTATGCTCAAGCACTTCTTCCTCCAAGTAAGAAAGCACCATTTTCTCTGGTAACTTTGCTCTCTCTTTCAGGTCTTTTGTTTTCTTCATGTCACCCATGAGTGACCAAAGATTATCTTCCCCATATGAATTTGTAGATGGTGAACCTATATCACATCCATTGGAAACAGGTTTATCATCATCTGAGGTAGAACTCATTATTTCCAGCTCCCTGATTAAGTCCTGTTTATATTGTTCAGCCTCCTCTTCTGTAAATAAGGATGTTTTATACCGGGGATCCAGAAGTGTAGCAAAAATGTACCTTGGATCATGAAGCGTGGAGGACAATCTACTCACCATAGCTTCTTTCAAAGATTTCAGCATAGTATCTATGCCCATTGTTTCCTCAAATAGCATTTCTATTTTCCTGTTAAGTATATGAATCATTGGAATCACTTGGCTTAGAGTAGACATGTGTGTACTCATCTCCCTGCTTGCAGCTTCAAAAGGCTTGAGAGCGTGACACACCGACTGCATGACTTCCCACTGATCACAACTTATTAGCTCCCTAAAGCTGCACTCTATTGACATTTCATCAATTGCTCTTTTCTGTTCGATAAGACGTTCCAGCATATGAAATGATGTATTCCACTTTGATGGAACATCTTGTATTAGCTGATGCTGAGGCAACTCATACTCTTTTTGCAACTCAGCTAACTTCTCTTTTGCTTTTGCTGACCGATGGACGCGTTCACAGATCTTTCTTGCAATACTAAGCAAATTCTGAACCATTCTCTGGCTTTTAATAGCCTCATTTACAATGACATTAACAGTGTGACTAAAACATTGTACACTTGAATGATCACCTTCATTTAAAGTTTTTTCTATGCTCTGATTATCAGTAACAGTAATCCCAATCTGAAGGCCAATGGAAGTAATCCATGTTTCCCACCAGTACTCTAACTGCTTCTGAATACTGATTCCATTGTAGTCACAATCAATCTGTGATACATTTAATAGTGCTGAACAATGGTAATCCTCACACTGTGGTCGAAATGAAGACTCAAATGTTACCCAATGAGCTGTCAGGGTTAGATATTCTCGTGTTTGGTTGCTCATCCATATTCCGGATGTAAAATGGATGACTCCACTTTCAGCTTCTTTAAGATGTGAAATAATTATTTGTTTTACATTATCATACATATCTGGAATCGCTGTCCTAGAAAAGTAAGATGGAGAAGGTAAAGAATACTGAGGTTGCAAGTATTCAAGCAGCCTGTTAAAGCCAATGTTATCTACAAAAGAATATGGCTGAAGGTCAAGTGCAATCATTTCAGCTACAAGACTTGTGATTTTTTTGGCAACTGGGTGAGAGTCACAAAACTTGTCATTGGTTTCATCAAAATTTGAAGACCCTAGTAATTCTGTGCTCAGTGGCATGTGATTATCCGTAGATGAGGATAATACTGTCTCCGAGACATCAGTTTTCAATACACTGTTATGAAACCGCTGCAAATGTCTTAGAAGACAACTTGTGCCTAGATTTGTTGGCTTTTTCCCCCTACTTATTGTACGTCCACAGTGCATACATATTACTTTTGTTGAATCTGCAGAACAAATTGAGAAGTGGTTCCACAGTTTTGAGGTCTTCTTACTGTTAACAGGAAATATAATTTGATTATCATGTGTAACCATTGTAGGCAAGTCAGTCAACTTTGAGGATGAACATTCTGCAGAAGCCAAAGTGGCATAAGGAGAATTTGCCAAACTCACATCAAGAAAGCTCTTTTGGTTTCCAATTACGTCGGGATGGCGTCTATATAGATGTCTCATCAAACAGCTTGTGCCCACATCTCCTTTTTTCCCACGACTTATGATACAACTGCAGTATCTACATACTGCTTTTAGACTGTCTGCAGGTGACAGTGAAAAGTGATGCCAAACTTCTGACTTGAGCCTTTTCATAATCCTTTTGTTTTGCTGAAATACAGCAGTAGGTTCAAATATTAGTGGGCCTAATCCCTCACACTGTTTCTCAGGAGAGGAAGCAAAGGAGACTTCACCTATATCATCAGAAGATGACAGCATTGAGTCTTCCACTAGAGCATCTCCAGAAGAGAGATTAGTATGGATCTCCTCAGAGATTCTGTCTGGAGAAGAAGAAACAGAAGTTGATTCTTTCATTAGTTTTCCAGGAGAGGATGACATAGAATTCAGATCACTATCTGAGGGCAGTAAAGAAGGCAACAGAGTTGGAGGTGCGGTGTAGAGAGGTGGTATGCTGGTACCACCCCCATTCTCTTGCAGGACAATGGAACGATGGGCTCTCCACATATGTCTTATTAAACAACTCGTTCCAAGGTCTTTTCCATTTTTTCCTCTACTGAATTCATTCATGCAGTGGATGCAAACAGCTTTAGAATTATCTAGAGGTGACAAATAAAAGTGTTTCCAGACAGCAGATCTCCTTCTGGAACCCGATGTGCTCTTTGGAATTACAACAGTTTTTTCTGCTACATTCTCCACAGTGTCGTCATACTGGTTGTTGGGTAGCTGTGGAGATGACCCAACCATGACTTCTTCTTTGCTGCACTTTTCAGAAACTGAGAGATCTGATATTTCTTCAGAAGAAACAATAGAAACAGATTCCTCAATTATTCGATCTGGAGACGGTATTTTAGAAGCCATTTTCTTGACCAGTTTGATAGGGGATAACATAGAACTCAGATCTCCAACATCTGCGGACTGAGGTGGTAGTAACAACGTAGGTGAGGAAAAGGAGGATATACCTGGCATACTTCCATTTTCTTGAATTAGTACAGTGGGATGGGCTCTCCTCACATGTCTCATGAGACAACTTGTACTCAGGTCCTTTTCATTTTTACCCCTGCTAAATTCTTTCATACAGTACATACATATTGCTTTAGTGCTATCCCTAGGAGATATAAAAAAATGGTTCCAAGCAGGTGACTTTTTTCTGGAGCTTATGTTTCTGCTAGAAAGGAGGCTTTGTGTCACAGCTTCCATTGCTACATCATACAGCGTACTACTATACTGAGAAAAAAGAGATCCGTAATCATCTTCATTTTCTGTAGATAAATATTTGCCAGGGTTGTTGGTAACTAAGTTCTTTTCTTTGTCTTCTTGTTCATCACTGCTGTCCACATGTTTGAAATCATCTTGTTTTGTCTTGATATCCATTCTTTCTAGAGTACAGTTAATGCTGTCTTCTTCTTGCTCTACTTCTAAGTTATTGATTTTACCCAATACAAAATTGCCATCCGTTCTGGGGGCATCTGCTTTACTCTTGTCCATGGATGACAAATTCTTCTTGCCAAGTCTTCATTTATTAATAAATATGGATAATTTAAAAGATTATTTTAAATTATGTATCTTGTACACTGAATGCGCAAAGACAAATGTGCGTATGTGTTAAAATAATCTCTGGTTTATGAATTCTGTATCCGTGTTGTGCATCAGCAAATATGATTAGTCATAAAAATGCATTTAAAAATCATAGACTTAATTGATGGAATCTCATTTCTTCCCCAGGATCAGGACATTTCAGGTCATAGATGAATGTTCTCAAAGACATCTACTGTTAAATGCTTCATGTTGTAGACATAATCCGAAAAAATGAATGTTCTATTTTCTTGCTGAAGGAAGCCATTCTGTTCATCTTGACTGGGCAACTGTGATTCTTTTGCACCATCTAGGAAAAAAAAAAAAAAAAAAAAAAATCAGAAGACACAAGTTGACTAACACACTCTAAAAAACTATAATAAAGGGGAACTGAAAACATGCACTAAATGTTCTGTGTTTTGTTTTTCCTTTGAGATAAGAACAATTTAGTGTACTATTGAGCAAAAAGGAAAAAACAGTATTTACTCAATACCTTTATTGTGGACAGATCCATGTCTACAGACGCAGCTCTAGTTCAGATTTGACAAAACCTCGAGTTCAAGCATCACTTTTGTATTTGCTTGGATATACGTATGCCACATCCTACATCCTAATTCAACCACTGCATAAGCATACATACACACATATACACACAAGCATATACTATATAGTTGTCTATATCAACAGATACATATGAAGACAAGCAGGCATTTAGTCATGTTAGCAAAGAAATATGTACTTAAAACCAAATCTTAATTATACTCTTGGACATGTGAACCCTTCATTACTGATGGCAGTGTTTAAAAATACAGTATTTTACAAGAAACCTCTGCAAGGGTGTCCAGTATTTAGTCACACTAATGTCTCTCTGTTCCTCTGACCGTAGTTTCATATGGTTATATTCATACCATAACACTCCCAGACAACACCATACTATAGAAACAAGCTACTTCTAGAGTTTCATGATTAAAAACTGAAACGCTTTATTTAGGATAACTGGGCTATGCAAATGCCATGTATACACTGAGGTCTCCCAAAAGCATACATCACTCAGAAGCAAAGATACATACAGTTGCATACGCTTGGTGCCTAGAGCAGCACTGCCAGCTCAAGTTCCTCCTATAACCAAGGATTATACTAGAAAGCCCACGTACACCAAAATGCTAATTTCCCTCACGGGTAAAGATTTCCCTCACCAACAATTCCAGTACAGAGAGTAGTTTTTTGAAGTACAGCTGCTTATAAATCACAGGGCAACAACAGGCTCAAAAACCAAACCCCCCCCCCCCCCCCAAACCTGAAGAAGCTGTCTGCATTTGTAAGCCACTTTTTTTTTTTCCTTTTTACTACAGTTCTATCAGAATTCTAAATTTTTCCCAACCCTTTCTCACTTATTCTTTTGTCATTAATGTAGTTATTGGTACTTTCATTCAAGATAACAAATATTTATTGACCACACAGCTGATGCTACAGTATGCACTCCAATTTGTGCGAACTGGATTTTATGGGACGCTGTCTCCTCAGTTGAAGACAACACACAAATTTGAATAGGTTATTTTAAAAACTTCTCACACCAAATTTTCATGTGTTACTCAAACACAAGGATTTCAGCAGACAAAAGGTGAAGTTAGCCATAGCTACAAAACACTTAAAGTAAGTCTAGGTTGTACTCACACAGACTTTTCCCCCCTGTATCAAGACCAACACCGTATTAGCTTTGTAACCTATTTATTATTTTTCTGAGGTCTGTTTACCAGAGGGATAAGAACCACTTATTTTCTGTGGATTTCAGACTTGTGACAAGCCTACTATAGTGATCATTAACTTACTTTCTTTTCCAGTACAGGGGAAGAGGCAGGGAAAAGGAGGGGCAATCATCTTATTGCAGCTATTTTAAGAAAAGGGAGATGGAGCAGTCAGAACTTGCAAAGAGGAAGGCAGTAACTCTGGTTTTCTTTCTATGAAAGTTTTAGTATTTGTGCTCTACCTTTCTCTCTCCTTCTCAGAAGGAAAAAAAAAACACACAAACGTTTTCAGACACCAAAAGATATGAGGGTTGAGCATGAAAAACACACATTCTAGCAGAGGGAAAGACCTGAAGGAAAACTAAGAAAATTAACACTACACAGTACTTTCCACAGGTTTGTAAAAACACTTGTAAGAACAACTCTGGCAGCAGAGACTAAATTTGCATCACTCAGTACAAAATTGAATGAAACACAAGTTAGCAATCACACACATATTGATGATAGGGAAGCATATGCATGTGGGACAGGAGAACGAGTACAACAGTCAACATTTTTAATAGAAATCAGTCTAAGAGAATTTTTTTTCCTCATTCTTATTTTGATCTAATCTGTAAATTTGGAACTTGTGCTACAAATAGGAAAAGCAAGAACATATAATAAGTTGTTGTGACTTAGGATCACAGAACAGAAAGGCTCAGAAGCAAGTGACTCCATGCAGAGCTTACAGAGCATAAATTATGCATGTAAGTGCCAAGTTACAGTAAGCACATTACAGATGCCTAGCTAGATTTGCACAAAACACATGAATGAATCTATTGGCATCGGGTTCTGATGAAGGTGTGCACAAGTTCTTTGCCTCAAAACAGGTAATCACATCTCTAGCCTGCAATTGCTGTGATTTCTTAAATCTGCAAAAACAGTTCTAGGCTTTGAACAGGAAAATCCATGGAGAAGCTTCACTTGTCCCTGTCCCGATAAGCAGTTACTGCTTAACACAGCTAAACCTAAGGTAGCCGAGATGGGAAGATTTGGAAACCTGATAAATGAGACCAGTTGCAAACTTCATAACAATCCTTAACTAGATTGACATTCATTAACAACACACATTGCCAATGGTTAAGGTCTTAATCATTATCAGCCATTATCACTACATATTCCAACAGTTAGGCCCTAATCATCTTATCCTAAATTAGCTTTAAGTACACAGTACCATTGAGCTGGTGCCATGTAGTTAAATACTGACGGCTATGGTCCTTGATGGTCTAGTTGCTGAAGTTGAGGTAAATAGGTGAGAGAGCTATTTCGACTCTGAAGCAGGAACCCTGGTGGTAGACTTCTTTCTTCCCCATTTCTCCCTGCTGTTGCTGGGTGTTTTTAATGCTTATAACCTCCTCCACCAAAAAAGGGTGTGGGAAGCAATCTCATCTGCTCCTGACATTATTTGTCTTCTTTTCTTTAGGACTAGAAACTGTTCTGGTTCCACCAGAAATCTTTCCTCCTTATTCTGTATCCTTTGTATTTGTTTGCTGATTTTACTACTTGAATTCTTGATTCCTGTTCTTCTGTCCCCTGTTTGTGCAGTTAAACATAGGTCTCCCTTTGCAGCTACATATTATTTCTATACTTATGTGATATGAAATGCTTTCATGCTGTTAAGAGGGTTTATGCTATCAGCAGTGTTACAAAGTGCTTATATACTGTGGCCAGTTACACTATTTTAGTGTACTTATGACTGGGCTTAGGACAATAAAACATTAATTATATCTTGCCCCCTTTATGGAAACATTCCAGGTCAGGTTGGACGGGGCTCTGAGCAACCTGATCTAGCTGAAGATGTCCCTGCTCATTGCCTGGGGGTTGGACTAGAGGACCTTTAAAGGTCCCTTCCAACCCAAGGATTCTATGATCCTATTGCTGTTACAGGTTGCTGGCTACATAGTACATTTTTTCTGGGCATTTGCCTTCTAGGAATGCAGAATAGCTGAGATTCTTAGATGAGTCTCGTTAAGGCTGCTAGATCACTTCCTGGGAAATCCCCAGAATTGGATGCCACTTAGAAGATTCTGCATGTATTTTTTTTTTTCCCGTTTTCTTCCAAACATTTAAGTATGATCTCTGTTGCTTCGAGTGTTAATCCATCATAGTGTAAAATTAAGTCAAGCTCCCTGGGCCCTTCAAACACCCTTAAGGGTTCAACCCAAATTTTCTTTAGAGTGCAGTCCCCAGAACGCTCAATGTTAGAAAGATAGATAGGTTTTTCATCCCCCCCATACCAACTCTATGTAAGAGTCAATCTGTTTTAAAAAGAAACAAAACACTCCATCCTTTTTTAAAATTGTATAGTAATCTAGAAAAAAAAAGTATGAATTCGGTTATGAACACCTTTACAGAGCTTATTTACCTTTGGACACAAACTACTCGAAGTTAAGGACTACTGCTAGACAAACAGGATATTCAAGGAGAAGGAAAATGTTTTCAAATGTACAAAAGGCTACAGGCAGTGAGCTCAAAATGAAAATGATTTATGCCTTTGAAATCTCCTCAATTAGATACAGACAAGCAGCGAAACAAAGAGAATTAAGAGTCACCTTGCAACAAAAATCTTCAAAGAAATTAAATGGAACTAGAGAACAATTATCTACTCAAATGTACTACTCTAGACTATTAGCTCCTGACTGGCTGTAGACAGTCAGTGGTTTGCTGTGGTAAGAAGCCTACAGAAACATTTTACAGGATTTTCCATTCAAAATGGGATTACTGAAAGCGTATGGCAGTTGACAAGAAGTCTCAGGAGAACGTCACAGATCCAAAGAGTGCCACAGTGGACTGCCATGACCAGAAGTAGTCACTGCTGAAGGAAGGGGGTAAAAAAAGAAAAAAAAAAAGAGAAACACTGGTGTCTTGGGATTGCAGACATACATTAACATACAGAGAAGTATGAAAATTATGCACTGAAGCATGAGCAGATTATTTGCTTGTAAAGCAGATAGTGGCCTGCAAGCTTTAAACAATTTTAGGTTGAGTAAGTCAGGCAATAATCATGGACTTGATTAATTACAGATCTTAGTGCAAATAATGGTCTAGAGAAAGTAGTGTAGTAGTGTAAATACAGAGAAAACACACACACCTGCAAAATGTAAGAGCAGTTGTTTCAAGAAAGATGACAAAGTGAAAGCAAAACTATTCACTAGTTTGAAAAAATATCAAAAGTAGTGACAGATTTTGAGCATAGGAGGTACATAAAAGCACATTAAAAACAATTTACACAAATAGATGTCAATTTTAGAAAGAATAGTGCTAATCTTGTTTATTTTTTGAAATCTACAGGCATCATTAAGAACATAAGTAAAGAGAAAACTCCTAAAAGCAAGCAATACAAACAATAATGAGGAGACATTTTAAGAAATTATTATTAACTTCCACTTCAATGGCAGGTACTATGCTAATTATGGAATATTTGCTAAAAT